GTTAACCCTTTGATGGCCCCAGATGTTAACCCCTTCCTGCCCAGTGTCATTAGTACAGTGTCAGTGCTTTTTATTAGCACTGATCACTGTATTGGTGTCACTGGGGATGTCAGTGACAGTCAAGTGTCCCCCCAGTGTCAGAATGTCCACCGCAGTCCCGCTATAAGTCATTGATCACCGCCATTGCTAGTTTTGAAAAAAAAAATCCCAGTATATATACCGCCATTTGTAGGCGCTATAACTTTCACGTAAACCAATTAATTTACACGTATTGGGATTTTTTTAGCAAAGACACGGAGCAGGATACATTTTGGCCTAAATTTATGACGAAATTTGATTTTTTACATTTTTTTTATTGGATGTTTTATAGCAAAAAGTCAAAAATATTAGTTTTTGTTTTTTAAATTGTTGGCTTTTTTTGTTGATAGCGCAAAAAATAAAAACCGCACAGGCGATCCAATACCACCGAAGGAAAGCTCTATTCGTGGGGAAAAAGGACATAAATATAATTTATGTACAGTGTTGCATGACTGCACAATTGTCAGTAAAGTAATGCAGCGCCGTATTGAAGAAAAATGGCCTAGTCAGGAAGGGAGGGGGGATCCTCTAGAGGGCGAGGGGTTCAAGTAATTTTCTAGCATAAAAAAACAGATTTTAACATGTGGAAAAAAAATGGTGAAAGTGCAAAAATGGTAACATGTTACAGCTTCTACATTTTTTTTTTTAAATCTTTATTTGCAGTTTTCAAGTCATACAGGAACAATCAATCCAGATAATCTGCGCAGTACGACTTCTCACGGGTTGTACGAGATTTGATGGATTGGATGTGGATGAACGCTGACACTTCCCCGTATCCTCATCCATCGGATTCTACATAGATGTTGAATATCTTATGACTTGGATGGATTTGGATTTCTTAGATGACTCTGCCTCGGCAATCTCTGACTGAGGGGGGGGCCCTAAGGCCCCATTCATACTCACATTCCCACTTGCAATTTTCACCAGATTTTGCACATCACACACAGGGCAGGCCATTCACTACGATGAGCTGCTCTATGCACGTTTGTCACCCAAAGGATGCTCCCGCTCCTTTTTTTGGGAGGTGATGAACTTCACGAGATTTTGTCGCATCACAACTGCAGCAATATTGGGGTGCCGTTTAGATAGAAGCATGTGTTGCGTAATTTGCGGCGATTGCCATGCGATTTGGAATCGCAGGCGCAATGGCACGGATTCCACAATTCCAAATCACCAATGGGACCTAAAACAAATCCCTGATTTCCCCTGCGATCTCTTCTGCTGAGGCTGATATGAGCTGCACTGTGCAGGGCGGTTCGGTGATTCCAACAGGCGGTTTGTCCTCCGCACAACAGGGATCAACCCACAGCATGCAGAAAGGCGAGAGAACATAGTTACATAGTCGTATAGTTACATAGTTAGTCTGGCTGAAAAAAGACAAAAGTCCATCCAGTTCAACCATTAAAAAAAAGAAAAAAGTTATAATCCTACACCCACAGTTGATCCAGAGGAAGGCAAAATAAACCCAGCAAAGCACGATCCAATTTGCTCCTGCAGGGAAAAAAATTCCTTCCTGATCCCCCGAGAGGCAATTGGATATTCCCTGGATCAACTTTACCTATAAATATTAGAGAAGGTTAAAGTAGTATTCCGCCCTCTGGGGTTTATTTACTAAAATGTCATCAATATAACTCTAGCCAGAAGAAACTAATGGGGTTTTAAAGGCACCAAAACCATATGAAACAATATCAATTGTACAAAAAAAATGGGAAACAAAAGATAAAAAAAAGAATCCAGCACCTTTTATGGAGTTAAAAACCCACCGTATTGGTTGGCTACTAATTGTAGTTCTGTCCATTCACAACATTTGAATTTTATGACCCTCCATTTATGCTTTTGATTGTTATCTTCCACCAATACTCCATAAAAGGTGCTGAATTCTTTTTTTATCTTTTGTTTCCCATTTTTTGTACAATTGTTGTTTTTATATGGTTCTGATGCCTTTAAAACCCCATTAGTCTCTTCTGGAAGGGTTATATTGACGACATTTTCAGTTAGGGGTGTGGTACCAGTAAAACCTTTTCACAAGGATTTGGAGGGATTTTTCATCTCCGTCTCCCACCATGGATATCTAATGTTTATTTACTAAAGCTGGAGAGTGCAAAATCAAGATTGCTTCTCCACAGAAACCAATCGGCTTCTGTCTAAGCTTTGTCAATAAAACCTGGAAGCTGATTGGTTTCTATGCAGAAGCGATCCTGATTTTGCACTCTTCAGCTTTAGTAAATAAACCCCTCAAGTGTTTTAAGTTGAACCCACTGAGCACAATCAAAGAAACATCCCCCAGTAAACGTACTCCAGCACTTCCAGTTTACAGCTTTTCAATGCTGCTGGCTCCTGCTCTCTCAGTGCTGCTTCCCTGGACTTCTGGTCTTCACCAGAAGTGGCTCTAAGAGCAGAAGGTTTTTTTTTGTTTTTTTTTTGCCTTAATACACCCACATAGAATAAAAATATATTTGAAATATATTTTAAAAATATTCTTCCCAAATATATTGACATGCCTCCATGTCCAGTGAGGAGAGAGAGAGAGCAGAGAGAGTTGCTGCTCTCAGGCACAGAGCTGGATCGAGGTCTGGCTCAGGTAAGTATTTTAGAGGAGGAGCTGAACACAGGTTTTTTTGTAGGTGGTGGCGCCGCTTTCTTTTATTTACTATTTATATAGTTTTTACTTATCATTTGTACAGGTTTACCTTAATGCAAAGAATGCCCACATGGAAAAAAAATGTTTTTGAAAATATATTTTTAAAATATTCCTCCCAAATATATTGACATATATTTGAAACGCTACAATTTTGGCCATATTCAATATATTTTAAAAAAAAAATAATATATATATATATATATATATATATATACACACACATATATATATATATATATATATACTACATGTTGAAATGCGTTTTTATTACAAAATATGTGAAAAATATTTTTAAAAAAATACAAATTCAAATATACTGTATGTCTTTAAAAATACAAATCTACATTTTTGGAATGCATTTACAAATATATGTAAAATATATGTTAGAAATACTTTTTTATATGTTAAAAAAAATCTGAAGAATATATTTAAAAAAAAATATTTTTTAAAAAATATTTTATATAAAAAATGCATTTCAACATGCAGTATATATATATATATATATATATATATATATATAATATATATATTTATTGAAATATATTTTGAAATATATTGAATATGGCCAATTGTAGCATTTCAAATATATGTCAATATATTTGGGAAGAATATTTTTTAAATATATTTCAAATATATTTTTCTTCCACGTGGGCATTCTCTTCATTAAGGTATAAAAAACCTGTACAAATAATAAATAAAACTATATAAATAATAAAAGGAAGAGGGCGCCACCACCTACTGTAAGTGGTGTAAAAATCCTTCTGTGTTCAGCTCCCCCTCTAAATACTTACCTGAGCCAGACCTTGATCCAGCCCTGTGCCCGAGAGCAGCAACTCTCTCTGCTCTCTCTCTCTCCTTATTGGAGATGGAGGCAGCAGCAGGGGAGCTATTGCTTCAGTTGCAACCCGGGGCGGACTGACCATTCAAGCACTTGGGCACTGCCTGGGGTCAGTAGGGGGCCCCATGAGATGCCCCTGGTACCTTTCATTGGCTTTTTCATAGGCTTTTTTGGGTGTGGGCGAGGACACAGGGGCCCCATGATCCCCTATTGCCCGGGGGCCCAATGAGTTGTCAGTCCGCCCCTGGTCGCAACATGTGAGGAGGGGGCAGAGCCAAGCCGTGTTTGTGTGTGTCAATGGACACACAGAGCCTCGCTTAGGATCAAACTCGCACCAGTACCATAGCAAGCAGTTTGCTATGTGGTCACTAAGAAAGGGGCGGAGCCAGAAGCACCAAGGGGGGACCCGAGAAGAGGAGGATCGGGGCTGCTTTGTGCAAAACCATGACACAGAGCAGGGAAGTATTACAGGTTTGTTATTATTTATTTTTAACCATTTACAATCACTCTGACAGTGGACAGTGCAGTCTCCAATCAGGGTATTAGCTTGGAGAGGAGGAGGAGGGTGCCTTTCCATCCCTGGCTATGGGGCTGTGTGTTTCTATTGATGCACACAACGTAGGGAGACACAACTTTAGTCCCTGCATACAAGGGTGGCTCCATAAGACGCTGCAAGAGAAAGGAAATGGGAAACCTTGGGGTGGTGATCAGATCTGGTGGCTGCATTAGTTTTCTCTTTTTAGACTTTTTTACCTGTTTTCACCTGGTGATGTTTGTTATACAAGAACATTTATTTGACCTTTACAATCACTTTAACAGTGGACAGTGCAGTCTTCAGTCAGTCTATTAGCCTGGAGGAGGAGGAGGGAGCAGGCTAGTGCCTTTCCATCCCTGGTTATGGGGCTGTGTGTTTCTGTTGATGCACACAGCGTAGGGAGACACAACTCCAGTCCCTGCATACAAGGGTGGCTCCATAGGACGCGCTGCAAGAGAAAGGAAACGGTAAAAGACAAAGATTAAAGCTGCACACTCTGGATTGAACCAGCTGCTGGAAATGATGAGGGGGTGATATCGCTTTGATGAATTATACGCCAAACCCAGCAAAGGTGGAAGGGAGGAAACAGACACATTTATTGATCATTACTTGTCTCTCATGATATTTCCATCTTCAGATAAGGAGGAGTTCCTCCGGTGATTCACCGCAGTCCTAATAACACGCATCCCTTCTCCTGGGGCGCCTGCGATGACCCGCGTCCGATGCGGCCATGTCTCACGGCGGGGATGCAGGGTGGCGTGAAGAAAACAAAAGGTTAGTTTTTTTTCTTCCTCTCTCAGAGAGAGATACAGTAGATGCCGTTTGTATGCGGAACATTCGGTCAAGGAGCCAAACCGCCTTTACTTCCTCTCCCGGAGACACAGCAGGAAGTGAGGGAATTCCTGTGCAAGACTGAAGGGGAGGAGCCGGTACACCTTTGCAAGTCTGGAGGGGAGGAGCCGATACACCTGTGCAAGACTGAGGGGGAGGAGCCGGTACACCTGTGCAAGACTGAAGGGGAGGAACTGATACACCTGTGCAAGACTGAGGGGGAGGAGCCGGTACACCTGTGCAAGATTGAAGGGGAGGAGCTGGTACACCTGTGCAAGACTGAGGGGGAGGAGCTGGTACACCTGTGCAAGACTGAAGGGGAGGGAACCGGTACACCTGTGCAAGACTGAGGGGGAGGAGCAGGAACACCTGTGCAAGACTGAAGGGGAGGAACCAGTACACCTGTGCAAGACTGGAGGGGAGGAGCCGGTACACCTGTGCAAGACTGAAGGGAGGAGCCGGAACAACTGTGCAAGACTGGAGGGGAGGAGCCGATACACCTGTGCAAGACTGGAGGGGAGGAGCTGGTACACCTGTGCAAGACTGAAAGGGAGGAGCTGGTACACCTGTGCAAGACTGAAGGGGAGGAGCTGGTACACCTGTGCAAAACTGAATGGGAGGAGCTGGTACACCTGTGCAAGACTGGAGGGGAGGAGCTGGAACACCTGTGCAAGACTGAAGGGGAGGAGCTGGTACACCTGTGCAAGACTGGAGGGGAGGAGCCGGTACACCTGTGCAAGACTGAAGGGGAGGAGCCGGTACACCTGTGCAAGACTGGAGGGGAGGAGCCGGTACACCTGTGCAAGACTGAGCGGTAGGAGTCGGTACACCTGTGCAAGACTGGAGGGGAGGAGCCGGTACACCTGTGCAAGACTGGAGGGGAGGAGCTGGTACACCTGTGCAAGACTGGAGGGGAGGAGCCGGTACACCTGTGCAAGACTGGAGGGGAGGAGCCGGTACACCTGTGCAAGACTGGAGGGGAGGAGCCGGTACACCTGTGCAAGACTGGAGGGGAGGCCGGAGGGAGGATTTGAAGGAAGGGAAACTCATGAGGCTGAGGACTTGCGATTGGTCAATTTGAATTCTATTAGCAAAGGATGAAAAGTAAAAAAGTTGTTTTTATATTCGTCGGTTGGGTGAGGACTAAGCTGATACATTCGACCTATTATTGTAATCTGAAGATATTCTTGTTAACCATTTGCTGAAAGCTGCATAGCAGATATACTGCTACAGGGCGGTAACCGTGTGCAAAATCGCAGTACACATTGCACATAGCTAGGCACACAGTGCACCCTTCGATCTCCCCAGATGTTTAACCCCTTCTTGCCCGGTGTCATTAGTACAGTGTATAGTTTAGTGTATTATTGATCACTCTATGAGGGTCACTGGTTCCCACAAAGTGTGAGTCAGTCTCCAACTGTCCGCCACAATATCGCAGTCACGACAACAAGTCGCTAATCGCCGGAATTACTAGGAAAATAAATACACCCTTCAGTCTTGCACAGGTGTACCGGCTCCTCCCCTTCAGTCTTGCACAGGTGTACCGGCTCCTCCCCTTCAGTCTTGCACAGGTGTGCCAGCTCCTCCCCTTCAGTTTTGCACAGGTGAGCCGGCTCCTCCCCTCCAGTCTGGCATAGGTGTACCGGCTCCTCCCCTTCAGTCTTGCACACTTGTAGCGGCTCCTCCCCTTCAGTTTTGCACAGGTGAGCCGGCTCCTCCCCTCCAGTCTGGCACAGGTGTACCGGCTCCTCCCCTTCAGTCTTGCACTTGCACAGGTGTACCGGCTCCTCCCCCTCAGTCTTGCATAGATGTACCAGTTCCTCCCCTTCAGTCTTGCATGGGTGTATCGGCTCCTCCCCTCCAGACTTGCACAGGTGTACCTGCTCCTCCCCTCCAGACTTGCACAGAGGTGTGTACCGGCTCAGTCTCCCCTCCAGACTTGCATGGGTGTACCGGCTCCTCCCCTCCAGACTTGCACAGGTGTACCGGCTCGTCCCCTTCAGTCTTGCACAGGTGTATCGGCTCCTCCCCTCCAGACTTGCACAGGTGTACCTGCTCCTCCCCTCCAGACTTGCACAGATGTACCGGCTCGTCCCCTTCAGTCTTGCACAGGTGTACCGGCTCCTCCCCTCCAGACTTGCACAGGTGTCTGCTCCTCCCCTTCAGATGTCCAGTCTTGCACAGGTGTACCGGCTCGTCCCCTTCAGTCTTGCACAGGTGTACTGGCTCCTCCCCTCCAGACTTGCACAGGTGCACCTGCTCCTCCCCTCCAGACTTGCACAGATGTACCGGCTCGTCCCCTCCAGACTTGCACAGGTGTACCAGCTCGTCCCCTTCAGTCTTGCACAGGTGTACCGGCTCCTCCCCTTCAGTCTTGCACAGGTGTACCAGCTCCTCCCCTTCAGTCTTGCACACTTGTAGCGGCTCCTCCCCCCAGTCTTGCACACTTGTAGCGGCTCCTCTCCCCCAGTCTTGCACAGGTGTACTGGCCTTTTCCCGTTCAGTCTTGCGCACTTGTAGTGGCTCCTCCCCCCCCAGTCTTGAACACTTGTAGTGGCTCCTCCCCCCCAGTCTTGCACAGGTGTAGCGGCTCTTCTCCTGGACTGGAATGGGTTCCTCTGATTTCACTGCACACTGTGAGCTTCTCACAATGTGCATTAGAAGCTTCAGCAAGTCAGATCATGGAGCCTCAGCGTTACATGTGGGCGTTACCTATGCAAATACAGCCTGCCTAGGAATGCCCACTCTTCCAGACTGACACCCACCCATCAAGGCATTTTGATATTTGCATAACCCCTCCCACGAACCAGCCTATTGCTTGCATCAGGTTCGAGGTCCCTTGAGAGGAGTACTGAGACAGGGCGCTGTGATGTTTTCAAGAAGCTATGTGCAGCACCCTGCCGGCCCCTCCCACCAGCCATGATCTGTCTGCATTGCGTAGTGAAGCACAGAGACCCAATGATGATGTCACAGGATCTAAAGTTTGGTATGCAATGAAAACAGGTTTCATTTAAATATTTCATTATCATTTTTTGCATCTGGTTTTCCCGCTGAGTAACTCAGGAACCAATGGATCAGCATGTCAGCCAGTGAAAACTAGCATGCTCAGAAGTCCACAGAGGTTCCCTTTATGCTGCCCCAATCCTCACAGAATGCCGAGTTCTCGCCAAGTGCGCTGTGTCCCGTATGTGACCGCCGCTGGCGAGAATTCCATGATGAGGGTGGCGTGAGTTTTTCGGCGGTCAGCTTGATGAATGAGCCGCTTATAAATAAAAACTCATAAATAATCTGCAGTGATGGAAACGGGGATCAGAGTCTGGAATTCCTCTCATGGGTACGTTCCGCGGACACATTTCCCAGCTGAGTCTGGAATCCAGAGGGGAGCGACGTCTCACCGCAAATCAGGACTTTCCTTTCACTTCTTCATTGGCCGACCTCCCAACTCCGAGAGAAACATTTCTAGACGAAAACGCTATAATAAACTGATACATGAAAACAAAATGGTGGCAAATACTCTTTTTTAACCCTCCTTGTCTATGCAGAGACTAGAGCTGTGTCTCCCTACACTGTGTGCAGCCATAGAAACACACAGCCCCATAGCCTGGGAAGGCAAGGCGCTCCCCTTCCCCCTCCTCCTCCAAGCTAATAGGCTGACTGGAGACTGCACTGTCCACTGGCAAAGTGATTGTAAAGGACAAATACATGTTTTTGTATAAAAAACATCACCAGGTGAAAACAGAGGTAAAAAAGTCTAAAAAAAAGAAAACTAATGCAGCCACCACATCTGATGATTCGCAAGCTGCCATATATTACATTTTTGGTTTGGGGCTTAAAGTGATATTAAAGGCAGATTTAAAAAAAATAACAAACATGTCATACTTACCTGCTCTGTGTAATGGTTTTGCACAGAGCAGCCCTGATCAGGGGCGGACTGACCATTTGGAAACTTGGGTATTGCCCGAGGGCCCAGGGTTAGTAGGGGGCCCCATGAGATGCCCCTGGTACCTTTTTCATAGGCTTTTTTTGAGTTTTGCCAAGGACACAGGGGCCCCATGATCCCCTATTGCCCGGGGGCCCCATGAGTTGTCAGTCCGCCCTTGGCCCTGATCCCTCTGTTCTGTGGTCTACCAATGGCACTTCTGGCTCCTCCCCCTTTCTAGTGCCCCCATACCAAACCGCTTGTTATGGGGGCACCTGCGTGTGCTCGATCCTGAGCCAGGCTCTGTGTGTCCATTAACACACACAGAAGGGCTTGGTCTTGCCTCCTCCTTACAGGCTGTGATTGACAGCAGTGTGACCACTGCGCCAGGCTTCCTGTTTGTGGGTGGCTCCTTTCACTTGCAGCGTCCTATGGAGCCACCCTTGTATGCAGGGACTAGAGCTGTGTCTCCCTACACTGTGTACATCAATAGAAACACACAGCCCCATAGCCTGGGATGACAAGGCACCCCCCCTCCTCCTCCAAGCTAATAGACTGACTGGAGACTGTGCTGTCCACTGTCAAAGTGATTGTAAAGGTCAAAATATATATATATATAACAAACATAACAACCATACTTACCTGCTCTGTGTAATGGTTTTGCACAGAGCAGCCCTGATCCTCCTGTTCTGGGGTCTATCAGTGGCACTCCTGTCTCCTCCCCCATTCTAGTGCCCCCATACCAAACCGCGCTCGCTATGGGGGCACTCTTGCGTGCTCTATTTTGAGCCAGGCTGTGTGTGTCCATTCACACACACAAGGGCTTGGCCCTGCCCCCTCCTTACAGGCTGTGATTGAGAGCAGTGTGACCTTTACCCCAGGTTTCCTGTTTCTGGGTGGCTCCTTTCACTTGCAGTGTCCTATGAAGTCACCATTGCATGCCAAGTCTAGAGTTGTGTCTCCCTACACTGTGTGCATCAATAGAAACACACAGTCCTGTAGCCTAGGATGCCAAGCACTTCCCTGCCCCCTCCTCCTCCAAGCTGCTCAGTGTAATGTTTTTTCACAGAACAGCCTTGATCCTCCTGTTTTGGGGTCTAGTGCTGGCACTTCTGGCTCCTCCTCCTTCCTAGTGCCCCCGTACCAAACCGCTTGCTACGGGGGGAACCCGTGCGTGCTTGATCCTAAACCATGCTCTGTGTGTCCAATGACACACACACATAGAATGGCTTGGCCCTGCCCCCTCCTTACAGGCTGTGATTGACAGCAGTGTGACCACTGCCCCAGGTTTCCTGTTTCTGGGTGGCTCCTTTCACTTGCAGCGTCCTATGAAGTCACCCTTGCATGCCAGGATAAGAGTTGTGTCTCCCTACACTGTGTGCATCAATAGAAACACACAGTCCTGTAGCCTAGGATGGCAAGGCACTCCTCCCATCTCCCTGGCTAGAGATTTCACTGTCCACTCTTAATTCATTCCTGTGAAGACTGGAAGTTCAGGGAAGCACCACTGAGAGAGCTGGAACCAGCAGCATTGAAAGTAGTAAACTGCAAGTGCTGGGGGTAAGATTTTTACCCAATGTTTTTTTTGTGGAATGTGTATTTTATTGTGTTCATAGGCTGTTTGAGCGCAATCGGGTGACACCGTGTGTGGGACTCATAATGGATGTTCTGACCTGCAGGACGGCACTTCCCTCCCAGGTTGTAGATGGTTTATATCGGGTGAATAAATCCTTTCCCCGGCTGTGAATCTCTTTCATCTTTTCTCCACGTGGAATGAAGAGGCAGGAAATTAAACCTGTTACTTTTTTTACAAGAGAACCCATGAAAGTAAATGGCGTCCTTCCTGCCGGGAGATAAACCGCCTCCCTAAATCTGCCGTTTCCCTCCATATCCCGGAGTGCAGATATTTCACAGCCGCTGCGGATTAAAGGATGAATTAAAAAAAATGTTTTGTGGCTTTTTGTAGCCGGTTTATTCAGTTCCAGAAACTGTAAAATGAACATTTCTCTACAGGACATGCATACGGCGAAACGCTAGAAAGAATGTGCGACAAAAATACAGAAGAAAGGAGCTGCAGTGAGAAGGCATCCACGGCTCCCTTTAGCTGTGCCATGTGACCTCAGAGAGCCAATAGTCAGCAAGCTTTTAAAATCATGAACAGCAGCGGACTGACAACTCATGGGGCCCCCGGGCAATAGGGGATCATGGGGCCCCTGTGTCCTTGCCCAAACTCAAAAAAGCCTATGAAAAAGGTACCAGGGGCATCTCATGGGGGGCCCCTTACTGACCCCGAGTTTCCAAATGGTCAGTCCGCCCCTGATCAGGAACATCCATTGATATGTCTTGTGTTAAAGATGAACTCTGAGTATAATCTGTACTGTATAGTTATGTTGGTCCAGCTTGGCCCGCTGTAAGTACACTATATTGTATTGGGCCGACGGCCTTTCCACACACATGACCTTTAATGGCCCCCCAGTCTTAGTCCATAGGGTTCAATATTGAGTTGGCCCCGCCCTTTCCACACACATGACCTTTAATGGCCCCCCAGTCTTAGTCCGTAGGTTTCAATATTGAGTTGGCCCCGCCCTTTGCAGCTATAACAGCTTCAACTCTTCTGGGAAGGCCGTCCACAAGGTTTAGGAGGGTGTCTATGGGAAGGTTGGACCATTCTTCCAGAAGCACATTTGTCAGGTCAGGCACTGATGTCGGGGGGAGGAGGCCTGGCTCACAGTCTCCGCTCTAATTCATCCCAAAGGTGTTCTATGGGGTTGAGGTCAGGACTCTGTGCAGGTCAGTCAAGTTCCTCCACCCCAAACTGGCTCCTCCATGTCTTTATGGACCTTGCTTTGTGCACTGGTGGGCAGTCATGTTGGAACAGGAAGGGGCCATCCCCAAACTCTTCCCACAAAGTTGGGAGCATGAAATTGTCCAAAATGTTTGCCTTAAGAGTTCCCTTCACTGGAACTAGGGGGCCAAGCCCAACCCTTGAAAAACAACCCCACACCGTAATCCCCCCTCCACCAAACTTTACACTTGGCACAATGCAGTCAGGCAAGTCCCGTTCCCCTGGCAACCGCCAAACCCAGACACGTCCATTGGATTGCCAGACAGAGAATCGTGATTGGTCACCCCACGTCCCTCTGTTCTAGAGTCCAGTGGCGGCGTGCTTTACACCACGGCATCCGACACTTTGCATTGCACTTGGTGATGGAAGGCTTGGATGCAGCTGCTCGGCCATGGAAACCCATTCCATGAAGCTCTCTACGCACTGTTGTTGGGCTCATCTGAAGGCCACACCAAGTTTGGAGATCTTTAGCTATTGACTCTGCAGACAGTTGGTGACTTCTGCGCACTGTGCGCTTCAGCATGCGCTGACCCCGCCCTGTCATGTGACGTGGCCTACCACTTGGTGGCTGAGTGGCTGTTGTTCCCAGTTGCTTCCACTTTGTTATAATCCCACTAACAGTTGAGCGTGGAATATTTAGTAGCCAGGAAATGTCACGGATGGACTTATTGCACAGGTGACCACCTATCACGGGACCACGCTTGGAGTCACTGAGCTCCTGAGAGCGACCCATTCTTTCACCAATGTTTGTAGAAGCAGTCTGCATGCCTAGGGGCTTGATTGTATACACCTGTGTCCATGGAGGGGATTGGAACACCTGAATCACATGATTTGGGGGGCGGGGACAATACTCCTGGCAATATAGTGTATGTATATCTCATACCTGCCAGGCTGCTGTAAAAGCTGAAATCACTTGAGGAAG